TTGGATTCACGTGGCGAGGGGAGTTCCTTTATTCATTTATTTATTTTTGCTATAGGGCGCGTGTGTTTGCCAGAAAGACAGAGAGAGACAGAGAGAAAGCAAGAAATCACCCCCCCAGGGGGGATGGCCACACCGCAATCCCTTCTCCTCCATTCTCCTCTCGGGATCTTGGGCACGCATGCACACACACCCAGCATGAGTTTAAGCCACTGGGTTCAGGACTCAAACCATGGTCGACTACATCGGAGTCCAGCAACATATCCATTACGCTAATTGCTGGTCCCGAGAGGTCCTTAATGAAGGCAGAACAAGTGAGCTGGCCAGCCCTCCTGCCTCTCCCTGCTTTCTTGGAATTTACTGATATTTAGCGATGAATTTAATTTTCCTTCATCATCATCATGCGTATACCGAGTAAATCAAAGTCTTTAGAATTGGTAGGAATAGGTCCTACTTTTTAGAAGTACAATGGGGTTGGTTTGTCATTCATACGCTAGAATGAGGGGAACTGGCTGGTTTGAGGACCCGTGTTCTCATGGAGCAGGTGTTCTTGAATGGGGACAGGCCGGCCAGAGCCGGCCAGCTGTCAGCAGCAAATGCCCCCGGTGAGTGCTGCTTTTCGGCCCGCCGTGCTCCGCACGGTGCTCGGCAGAGGAGGGAGAGAAACGGGAAAGACAAGATGCAGGTAGTAGGGGCAGACAAGGACAGGGACAGATTGGAGAGCTTTATGGCAAACTGCAGAGAAGGATGATTTGAAAACGGACAGTGGCTGAAAGTTGCCACACCTGTTGGTGTCAGCGGGCACGTGACTCTGCCTTACTCTGCCTCCCAGGCGAGCACGGATACACAGAGTGTCATCTGTGTTGCATCCTGTTTATGTCTTCTTTACCTGGGCTCAAATTGCTATATGTAAATATTGTTTCTACCCTGGTTAGTCTTAAATACAGCTAATGAATTGAGAGCCCTAAACGGGTAACTAGTCCTTTCTCCAGAAATACAGCTTGGTTTTGTTAACTGGAATCTTCATCCAACCGACTACGAAATGCATTCAGCTGTTTGTTTAGACCTCCAGAAACTCAGAGCCAGCACGCGGATGTTTAACCCCACAGAGGCTCAGTTTATGGCCCAGGCTCACACCTGCCTGGACCCAGAGCCGACGTGCCCAGGAGGCTGAGGGAAGAGGATGGTGAGCTCGAGGCCATCAAGACCCGGCCTCTTCGGAACAAAACAGCAAAGACAGCAAAGCTAGTGTTCTTGAATGCAGAGGTGACATGTACCAGGCCACGGAGGATTCCGGCTCACTGAGATTCACTCCATCCTCCCTCTGAATAGCACTCATGTCCTGGGGGAGTTCTTAGACTTAATCTTTTTTTTTTTTTTTTTTTTTTGGGAGGTTTTTTCAAGGCACGTGACTCTGCCTTACTCTGCCTCCCAGGCGAGCACGGATACACAGAGTGTCATCTGTGTTGCATCCTGTTTATGTCTTCTTTACCTGGGCTCAAATTGCTATATGTAAATATTGTTTCTACCCTGGTTAGTCTTAAATACAGCTAATGAATTGAGAGCCCTAAACGGGTAACTAGTCCTTTCTCCAGAAATACAGCTTGGTTTTGTTAACTGGAATCTTCATCCAACCGACTACGAAATGCATTCAGCTGTTTGTTTAGACCTCCAGAAACTCAGAGCCAGCACGCGGATGTTTAACCCCACAGAGGCTCAGTTTATGGCCCAGGCTCACACCTGCCTGGACCCAGAGCCGACGTGCCCAGGAGGCTGAGGGAAGAGGATGGTGAGCTCGAGGCCATCAAGACCCGGCCTCTTCGGAACAAAACAGCAAAGACAGCAAAGCTAGTGTTCTTGAATGCAGAGGTGACATGTACCAGGCCACGGAGGATTCCGGCTCACTGAGATTCACTCCATCCTCCCTCTGAATAGCACTCATGTCCTGGGGGAGTTCTTAGACTTAATCTTTTTTTTTTTTTTTTTTGGGAGAGATTTTCACTATAGGGCGTGTGCGCTTGCCAGACAGACAGAGAGAGACATAGAGACAGAAAGTGAGAAATCATCCCCCAGGGGGGATGGTCATGCCACAATCCCTTCTCCTCCATTCTCCTCTCAGGATCTTGGGCATGCATGCACACGCGCCCGGCATGAGTTTTAAGCCACCGGGTCCGGGACGTGAACCTTGGTCGATTACGTGGGAGTCCAGCGACATAGCCATTACGCTAACTGCTGGCCCCTACCCAGCATGTTTTTCAAATCGTCGTGTTTGAGATGCTAGCAGTGTTGACCGGTAGAATCCAGCTGCTTAACCACCACACCCAAAGTACCCAGTTATTTTAAGCAATGAATTTTAACCATGACAAAATAACTTCTTCCAGGCCCTTGAAATTCCTTACAGTGGACATCGAGGCTACCTGAAGTCCACCCAGTCGGGCGTCCCATTGCCCCTGGGCACCTGCAGTCGGGCACATGTTCATTAAAGACCCCGAGGCAGTGACAGTGCAGGTTCAGGTCCCAGGCGTGGCGGCCATGCTGCTCACGCTCTGCCTGGTGAGGAAGCCGAGGCGCGGACTGGCACCCAGGGGTCCAGGGCAGTGCAGTGTCCAGGTGCTCTGTGGAGGAGTCTGCGTGTCTTTTGGCCCCCATGCGGGTGGGCTGGTTACTCTTGTAGATGTTATTGCTCAGAACAGGGTGGAGGTTGGTGGGCCTGCACCCAGGGAAGGAGACCGGCCATGGCTGCATATACACACAGCCCATTGACCACCCTTGAGTGCCCACACACTGCATGCCCGAGGTGTGTCTGACGAGCCTGGCAGAAGGCAGATATCAATACAAAATGGACAGCCACAAGATTGGCCAGGATTGAAACCAGAGAAAGGAAAGCCGGGGGCAAGCAGGCGGCATGGTAGTGAAGGTGCTGGAGTCCCACATGGCCGACCACTGTTGGAGTCTTAGACCTGGTGCCTTGAAAAGCGTGCTGGGTACATGTGTGCGCACCCAAAGTCCGGAGAGGAGAATGGGAGATTGGGGGTGCGGACATCTCCCCAGGAGGTGACTCTCACCCTCCCTCTCTCTGTCTCTCTGGCAAGCGCACGTGCCTGTGACAGAAACCTTAATTTAAAAAAAAAAGGCGTTTAAATATTGGAAGGTCTTGGAAACCAGAGACTAAGTTAGATGTTCTGAGATTTAGTGTATTTTGTTTGGAGTTCTTTAAAATGTGACAGCCCATGTATGCCAGTTAACCAGAGCGTCGACCTAGTGGAAGCAGCCAGACCCCAGCCCACTCAGACGGCGACTTTACACTGTTCCTGGTAGTGAGAGGCCGGGCTTCTTGCCCTTTTCCACCCTGATTCTTAGTTTACTTGAGCATGAGAGTGGGAAACTTGGAGCTCCTGAATCCCAAAGCACTGGCAAGAGCCTGTGTGTTTGCTTTAAGAACAGACTTTGTTCGACTTGAGGTCTTACCCTGCTATCAGTTAAAATGGAGGGGGTGGGGGGAGCCACGCTCATTACTCTTGTTCTTATTGATTGATTGATCGAAGAGGTTTTTGATGTGTGTCACACACACACACACAATTTTACTGCTTAGGTTTAAATAAAGACAGACACAATCTAAATTATTGGGCAAATGGCGCTAGGGTTAAGGCTGCTAGGCCCCACATGGCTGATTGCGTGTTTAGAGTCCTGGACCTGGTAGCTTGAAAAACATGCCGGATGCAGGTGCCAGTGAGTCCGCCCACGATCCCAAGAGGGGAATGGAGGAGGAGGGGTTGCAGCATAGTCATCCCATCCCTGGGGAGTGATTTCTCACCTTCTCTCTCTGCCTCTCTCTCTCTGGTTAGCACACATGCTCCACAGCAAACGTAAACAACAAAAACTATTCAAAGCTGTCAGATCAGGAGGATGTATTGAAAGACTGAATAAAAAGGCAGGGAAAGGCCCAAATGTCCATCATTCGAAGACAGGTTAATATGGTTCAGGACGTGCACGTAGAAGGAAACAGAATGGAGATGCTGCCGACCAGTATGGGAACATCTCCGGGATGTTACTGTGAGGTGACACAAAGCAAGATGCAGAGGAAATGTGGAAGACCAGACGTCTCTGTCAGAAGAGGGGGAAAGTAAGATATATTAGCCATTATTTGCAGAAAGAAACTGAAGGATACCCAAATGACGCGTGCAAGTGTTTGGTGCAGGGAAGGGTAGTGGGAAGAAGACTCTTCACACTGCAGCATCTCACAATGTTGTTGTTTTTCGGGAGATTTTCGCTATGGGGCATGTGTACTCGCCAGAGAGACAGAAAGAGAAACAAAGTGAGAAGTCACCCCCATGGGGGCAGCCACACTGCAGTCCCTTCTCTTCGGCTCTCCTCTGGAATTTTGGGCACACGTGCACACGCACCCAGTGTGAGTTTCAAGCTGCCGGAACTTGAACCGGAATCATCCATGTGGGAGACCAGCACCTCAACCACTGCGCCGCCTGCCGGCCCTTTAACGTTTGAATTGTGACTGTATGGCCTATTCAGAAACGAAAATATTTTTTAGCAGTTTTAGACAAGGACGTTGTCTAAATATGATCTTGCATGGTTAGATAAGGCGCAAATTAAGCCTGATCTTGTTTAAGCCCATTTGTCTCTCTGTGCCTGAGCCCAGGTACCCTTTGGGATGTGGTCAGTTGCAGGCCCCTGTGTTTTGAGGAGGAAGGGGATGATTCTGTAGGGTAGTTTAAATTCCAACAGCTTTGGTAGGAAACCAAAAGGGCAAGTCTGTATTTAAATAGTTTCTTTAGCTTGTTAAGGTTTCTTGAATTTAACTTACTATTTTTTTTTTCCAAGTAACTGGAAACCTTAAAACATACTCACGGTCCACAGTAAGGATCTTTTGCCCATGCCTTAGTGAATACAAGAAATGGACTCAAATTATGATTTTAAACCCGTTTTTATTTCTTATTGAACTTTGTGTGCTGGAGAAAGTGTTAATGTCTGTGGGTTTGTCTTTACAGGAGCAGGAAGATTCAGATCCGAAACATCCCTCCTCACCTGCAGTGGGAGGTAAGCCCGTGTTACCGTTTACTGGGTTACCAAGATCTTTTATCCCTTTTCCGTTCCCTTTCATATTTAAAACTTAAAGGTCCTCCAGTTTTTGCACAAAGGCTCTGAGTCCTAGCTCTTCCTTTCTCAGTAGCTAAAGGTGGGAGATCGGCCCTGAGTCGGGGACATACTTGGCTTTCCTCACTCCCATCATCTGTCTTCTCAAGTGCCTCACCCCAAGCACCAAAAACAAACCTTGAATCAAGATGCATATACGTGGATTGTGGGTTTTATCTCATGAGTCTGTAAAACACTTTTATCTTTTCAAATAATTTTAAACATTAGAAAACCAACAAAATAGAAAGTGTTAGTTTGAGCAGATTTTTTTATTTTGAATCAGTTGTGACGAGTAACAGCTAGGATGCATTTTCAGAGTTGTAAAGTTTCTTATAAAACTGCTACCTTAAAACAAGATAGAATGTGGGGAGTGGATTGCATTATTTAAAAACAAATTGCCCTACGTTTTATTCCTCAACCCAAAAGAAATCAAAGTAGCCTGAAAGGAAACAGAATGTTTTGTCTAGTGTTTTCATTGCTTTAAAAAAAAAAAAGACATTTTATCATGGAAAATGCCAAACATACACAGTGCGTTACTTTGTAAAAGAAGAAAATCTCTGGGGGAAACCGGAGGAAGAACTGCTACATCTTCTGGGGAGAGGAGAACCTTGTGCTCCTCCTCGGCTCCTCCTTGTTCCAGGAGCAGTCGTGGCATGGTGACGATTGTGGTTAGCAGCTACCAAGGCTCAAAGCCTACTGTGTCATCGTAGAGAGCAGAATATTTAGGAGCCAACAGGCACGTGAAGGCCCTATGTATTTATTCAGTTCTGTGTTATGAGAAGACCTGAAATAGCAGTTGGATTCGATTGTCCATGTACCTGTTGTCGCTCTGCCTCCGTTGGCTGGGAAACGCCACTGCTCCGTTTTTGGTACAATCTTACCTGCCCATTCTGATATGGACGCTTTCTTTCAGGTCTTGGATGGACTTTTGGCTCAGTATGGGACGGTGGAGAATGTGGAACAAGGTAATAAGTAGGAAATAAGCTTATTGAGTTTTAGAGAGAGAAATGACCTGTTACTTCTTACGGGCTGGGTAAGAAAGTCATCCTTACATGTTCCCTCCTGCTGTCTCGTCAGGAGCTGGGAGTCTCCCTTCCCTTCCCTACCGTACCTACTCCAGGAGAAATGGCAAATTGACAGGGCTTCGAATCAAGCTCCCTGGAGGGCATGTGTGTATAGCAGTGTGTCAGATAGCTGTAATGTAATAGTTTCTCTATTCAACGAATAGGATTTCACCCTACAGTAGCTTACCATGGACCTACTGACCCATGAGTAGTTCTCCATGGGGGAAATGCTCATGATTATTTTTTGTTTGTTTGTTTTTAAATTTGCTACAGGGGCATGTGAGCTCACAGGAGAGAAATGGGGTGGGGGCAGCACTTCCCAAGGAGGGTGGCCATGCTGCAATCCCTTCTTCTCCATTCTCCTCTTGGGACTTGGGGCACACATGCCCAGCATGTCTTTCAAGCCCCTGGGTCTGGGCCTTGAACCAGTCATCCAGACGCCTCGATCCCTCACCATCTACTGCCCACGATCTGTCTTTTACACAAGCTTCCTGCATGGTTGGTGTGTGCACTCAAGTGTGAGAACCAGTTTGGAATAGTGCTGCAGATACTCAGAAGGTACTTAACTTTTCTCTCTGCTGCCCTCATTGTTCTCTTCTAAAGCATAAACAGCTATGCTGTTAGGAGGAGGGGAAAAGGGTTCCTGAAACCGATACCCTGTGTAGCTCTTCCAGAGTCCTGGAAAGGTCGAGTCCTAGCTCTGATATGACAGGCTGTAGGTAACATGTGACGAAGATGAGTTTTGCCTCGGCCTGGGAAGCAGAATCCCCTCCTCTGCGTCTCACTGACGCGTTTTCCACGTGTGTAAAGGGGAGAGTAGTTTCCACCGCTGCATTACTGATTAGCTGTGGCACCCAGAGGGAACCTGCGGAAGGGCTATGTAGACAGTGGGATCATTAATAATCCTAATGGACTGTGAAGGTTCACTAGGGAAAATCATAGACGAACCCGTTTTCTCAAATGAAGGCTGGTTTTAGGCATCCATTTAATTAATTACGTTTTTAAAAAATATTTTGCCAGAGGGTACATGCACTCACTGGAGAGAAAGTGAGGGGCACAGTGAGAAAGCTTCCCTGATAAGAGATGGTCATATGGTCCCTTCTCCACCATTCCCTCCTTTTGATTTTGGTCACGCCCACACACATGCCTGGAGTGGAAGCCTCTGAGTCTGGGCCGCGTTGCAGGGTCAGCCGTGTGGAATCCAGCCATCTTCATCGTACCACGGGCCGGCCTGGTTCAGTAGTTCCAAAGCAGTCATTGTTCAGATGTTCCCCCCCTTACGAGTATGCCCTGCCCATGGGGAGGGGAAAGAGCTCAGGAAGCAGACATGGTTCACAAGGGTTCGAACCCCCTCAGCATGGACACGAAGGCATTGCAAAGCTGGATGGAGAAGGCGAGCTGGCCTTTCAGACACACACTGTCAAAGTTCCTAGCCAGGGCTACGTAAGAATGCAGGGCGTGGTATGCAGGAAGAAATACCCCAGGCCCTGGGCCCTTTTGGCTGCCAGGCACAGGGGCTCTGGGGCCGCCCTTGCCAGCTCCCTCAGCTACGGCAGACCAGTTGGGCTATTGTTTTGTCCTACTTCACGGGGGAATCCTGATTCAGCA